TAAGGATTGTTTTAAAAAGTTGGTACGCGACTTTTTTTTGAGTCGAAGTGATGTTCGATGTTAAGAATGGTGATGATAATTTTGACACATTTAGATGTTTTATTATTTGTAATTTCAATATATGTATTTTATTATTATATGTAACGTATATATTATATCTATGTATGATACATATTTTGTTCATATATTTACATATGTAAAGTTTTTGTATATTATACGCATATCTTAGTATGTATGTATGTATATGTGTATGTGTGTATGTGTATATGTATGTATATATGTATATATATATATATATATATATGTATGTATATATATATGAGTCTGTATGTATATATGTATATATATGTATGTGTGTGTATGTATGTATATATGTATATATGTGTGTATTTGCACCTGCCACAAAATCTCATCACTCCACGGGTTGACTGGCAGAGAATGCCGCTAGGCATTAAGTCCGCCCTTTGTTACCCTTTTTATTAAGGTGTAAACAAAAAGATTAAATAAATAAAATAAATAAACTTATTATGTTTGATTTAGAAATAAAACACAGATTAATTTCATGTTTATTGTTCATTTTCTAAATTGGAAATAAGAATATTGTCTAAAAACTGTGCAGGGATGTCGATATTATTTTGATGTCTTGTAAAGCTCAAGTACCAAATAATGGTCGTGTTACGCAGCAACCGATGGTTCTGCGTACAACGATGCAATTACAGCAATATTGCACGATTGCTTTTCTGTTCATCTTTAAACAATATTGTACCACCAGCAGAGCCGCTATTTACACAAAATACATTTTCCATTGCGTATGCGTAAGTCCGTTTATGAATGCTAGGTTATCGTTTGAGCGGTACACAGTTCCAAAAATCACAGCAAGGTAAGTCGTTCTTGAAAGCAATCAGAGTCCGTTAAAATAGCCAAGTCATAATGTTCAATATATAGTCCCGAAAGTCAACACAACACCGATACAATTATGTACAAAGACAATTACAATTGCAAACAACGCCAACCAATGTAACTTTGACAGAATTAGAGATGACGGTACAAAGTAGGCATGTCCATTTGAAATCGTTTAATCGATTGTATATAATAACAGAATCGATTTTCCAGATCGACATAGATCTGAAGAATCCTTGTCCGATGTCGATACAGAAACCTCTCGAATCGTACTTATTCAAGAACTAGCTATATTTCAAACGATTCAAGAAATACTTTTGCATAGTTGGAACATCTCTTTCTTGTGACAGACAAAAAAACTGTTCTGTTCTGGGTTTGATCCTAGGGTCGGGCAAATTATTATTGGGTTTTTATAACTTGAAGTTCCCAGTAGTAGCAAGGAGTCTGGATTTGTGTCCGGTGTTTGGCAATACGCGCATCCTCTATTACATGGGATGTATAACATAACAGTACTTACACACCTCTACCTACTCCTTCTGGAAAATACTGGCGTAATTTTATGTTTATTAATTTAATGATTTTTCTATACAGTTACTTGTATTTACGGTAAGTAATCGTCAATAATGTTCTGTGTCTATATTAGGCATGTTTGAAAATGTCGCGATTGATCAAAAATAGATCTGTTAATGCTCGATTTAACCGAGAATCGATTCTAGTATGTTCGATTTGCATCGATTTGGAGATCGTATTTTTTTCATGAGAGACCATTTAGTGAAATCAAAAATAGGAGCGCCAAATACGATACGACTTATGAATATTTCCTAAGATTTATTATAGCCGTACGTTAGAAACAGTATACCATCTATATAGTATATATCATCTTTTGTCATACGATAATATTAATACCATAAAACTGTCCTACTTTACTTATAATAACACGTACGTCTCTACTTCTTCCAGAATTGTAACAATATTAATAATAATATCTGTATCTAGTCTGCAATATTGCTCTTTTTAAAAAAAACACATTAATAATTAATGCAGTAACGATAACAGTTTTTTTTTAATTCATTGTCGTAAACTCGTAAGTTATCGTTTAGTAAGACGTAAAATATACTCCTGTCTAAACGATCATTAGAAAATCCTGAATAATTATCTTTACGAATATTTTTCTTCAGCAATATTCTAACTACCTATTCAAAATCGAGTATGACATTCAATAGGTATAGTAGGTTTTTAAAATTATACTTGTAGGGAATAATATAAAAGAACATAAAGAAATGGTAATATAATATTTTTATTGTAGCTTCTTTTAGCAACTTTATTCGAAATAAATTAAAATGTAATTCAGATTAAAAAATATGCAACAGTTCATTAAAAATTTAATAATCGATTGCAATCGATTGGGCATCCCTAATCATTCTTTGACACCACATGATGTTTGGCGAAGATGGCGGCGATTAATGTTATTAGTCGAATATAATACTTTTTAATGTTCATTTTTGCATGCAGCTAGTCCGTGTTATAAAAGTATTTGCAACTAATATAATAAAATAGAAAATTAATTATCGTGTATGTCCGATGCTTTTATTACACAGGGCGGTTTTGGACATTCTCCTTTCAATGCCTGCTCTATTGTAGAAGGGCGCATACACCTTATTCTAGACCCTAAGGCCTCATGTAAGCCACGAACGAAAGCCTGCATAGTGAGCTTTTTATACAATGTCCGCTTCGACTCGATAGTGGTAGGGATAGTTTCGTGTAACGATATATATGTCATGATGGTACTAAAAAGAGTCTGACAATGATCGTAAAACTCTTGAGGGCTTTTGTGGCCTTGCGAAGCCAAGGAAAGGTCATTGTACAGCGCAGTTTCGTCTCGTTGATCTGCGAAGTTGTTAATAAGAGATTCGCGAATTCCTAGCCAATTATCAGGGATGCCATTAGAATTTATGATTGAAGCCGCAGGTCCGGTGATTTTATTCAAAATTCCGTTCAGTAAACATAAATTAGATAATTCACTACCGGCTTCAGAGCTCATGTAAGTTGATACGACCTGATCGCATATTTTAATAAATCTGGTGAGAATATTTGGATTACCGTCGAAATCTGGCACGGGGCGCAAGGCCTTATATATTACATCGGGATCATAAGGCATTTTGGAACTTAGTGAATTTAAATTTAATTCTTCCTCAATATTCCTTAAATTATCTAAATCTATATTTCGACGAGACTGTCGAAAACCAGCCTCGCTAGGCCCCCTATTCTTTGGGTGAAAAATTTTGGACAATAAGGATAACACTTAAAGGATAAAAGGAAAGCAGCACAAAAAGAAAGTTTTGCGTACTTACAATATCATTCTGGTTTCCTCCGCGTATCGATTTTCGGATACTCGTCCCCGGTGCTGCTGCCACGTGGTTCGGATATTAGATTAAGGCTAGAGAGCCAAATCAGCGTCCTTCAGCGCCAGCCGAAATCTACCGATTTTTGGAGATTTTAACGCCGCGTACTGACTCTAATATCCTACCGACTGCGCCAATTACGTTAGCTGCAGCCGCAAGACTTAAAAAAAACCAATTCTTAAAATATAAATTTAATAAAAGAAAGATTACATTAATTCTATAACTAAATTAAAATGATTAGCTAGGTCGAAGTGTGACCGAAGAATGACGAAATCCGATGCTCACTTCCACGGGCGTCGGGTTGTCGGCGCCTGCTGACTCGGCGTCTCGTGACACGCGGCTCCGTCGTGTTCGTCTTTAAGTAGGTTTTACATACTTGGCGATTTTAGTGTAATAGAACTACGTAATTACTTTATAAATACCACATTTGTTAGTAATTAACATAATCTAAGTAAGGAAAATGTAAAAATAATAATATTGTTAACTTTGCAAGACAAAGCTAACAATAGCTTTTTTAATCGACATAGCTATACCATATACGTATAATATTAAGAAAAGTTAGTAAGTAAAAGTAGTAAATATTATGAACTAAGCGAATAAATGAAATAAATTTGGAAATTAAATAAAGTTTTCATCGTTCCAATTGTACTTTCAGCTACAGGATTAATACCAAAATATTTCCATCACTGTCTTAAATTATTAGATTTACCCCAAAATTTATATATTAAAATGCAAAAAGCAGCTATTTTAAATAAATGTCGCGTAGTGAGAAAAGTTTTAGAAAAATAATAAAATAAGGATAAAGTAATTATATATATACGACGACAGCAATCGGTTAAGAAACTTGAATGTCCCACCCACATGCATTAGGATCTAATGCCTCTGAATGGGACAGTCAAACTAATCTTGAAATATCCTCAAGACACCATTTGAGCTCTTCCGTAGTCTGCATAATATTGACGTAGTTTGCTTCCTTATGATGCTATAAAAATCATCAACACCTGCTTTAGCTAACATGCTTGAAGGACTACAGGGTCTAGGAAGGCCCACTATCATCCTAAAGGCATTATTATACGAGTATCGAATTCGAAGCGCATTGTAGGTCCTCTGCGTATAGTCACACCACATGCTGCAGGTGTAAAGTTTTTGACAGTATGCATTAAAGAGACGAGGGATTTTGACATCATTTGTAAACCTAGCAAACCTGCGGGCAAGCATATTACATTTACTTACTAATTAAGAAATTAGCAAGTAATTTCGTTAGTAAACACTTCACACTTTAGGCTGCACTTCTGGATTTCGGAACTCTTTGCCGTAGGCGTTATAAAATTTCTATGTAATATATATATATATATATATATATATATATATATATATATATATATATATATATATATATATTATGTATTTTGATTTGATTGAAAAATAAATTATGTATAAATAAATCCACCATATTTGCCACCATTTTTTTTATTGTTATAAGGTAATCTGTGTGTTGTTGCTTCTTCTGACACCCACGGAATGATATGTGGTAGTGGATATTATTACGCCACCACTACACGGCCTCCACGTTATTAACTAAAATATAACTACCAATTTCAGCTGTTATTAATCTACGCTTCCTTTTGTACTGGTGTATGCTGCGTGCTCCTGGGTACCCAAATTCAGCTGCATTGGGGTCCGCATTGGGTCACTGTAATGTTCATGTTTATATACGGCGTGACCTTCACATGCGGATCTGGGACGGTTCCCTGCGTGTTGTTCGCAGAGATATTCTCACCAGAGGTTGGTAAACATTAATTTTGTTTTTAAACAATCTATGAAACTATAATATATATGATTGATTAATTCAGTTAATCATATATGTAGTATTTATGAAAAATACGCAATTGAGTGTAGTCCTCAATAGGTTGATTCATAGTATCTCTATTTTTGGCATAGTTGCCACGCTATATTTTGTTGTATGGTTATATTGCCAACCACGGTTTTATGCAAATATAATATAATTGTATGCAAATTTTGATCTAAAATATTAATTAAAGTTCAAAAAGATTATGACATCGAGTGTATTTTTGTTAAGAGTATAAAATACATTTCCGATGTGAATTTTTATCATAAAAATTCATTTTCAAAGTATAAAAAGCTAAGTAAGAGATTACACAGGAAAGAAGAGTGAGCCGCGATCTACCAATAAGTACCGTAAAACGGGGTGACATTGATTAATTTTAAACTTCAAATGGATCCCACAAAGAATGAGAGATACTTCTCTCATTCTTTCTTCGATTGTTCCTGGTGGAATCATCGATTTGTTCCTGGTGGATAACCGACTGCGAAAACAGGTGATGGAAACGCGAGTGTTCAGGGGTGCTGACCTGGGAACGGATATTTATCTAAGGATTACTAGATTTAGGGGTCACTTCGCGGGTTGGCGCTACCGGACGGCAGTAACAGAACCACAGTCGGTCTGTCTCATCCGAAGCTGGAAGCTACAGGAAGGGCATACTAGGGACAAATATCATGCGAGGGTAGCCGAAAAGCTTGACACCATCGATGGCAGAAAAAAATGTGTGGAAAGAACATTTTTTTTTATGGGATCGAGTGACAAACGAGTGTTCAGTTAGGGAACATGAATAAAATAGGCGACTCACACGATAGGCAAATTGTATATTTAAAAGGAATGAAAAATACAAAATATTTGGTGGCGATCGGGTCGCGAGCTATCGGCAAGTGCCGGTCTTAGGCGCGGTGGTGAGAAACCCCCCGCACTTCACATACTCCCCGCAAACACCGTCGGTGCTGTCGTAACGGCGCCGACATACTCCCGGCGCTGGAAAGCTTAACAGCTTTCAAGATCTTCCAACTCATCGGGCTTCGGTAGTGGGACGATTCTGTTTAGGGCGCGCCGCACAATTCCTCTTGCAGTGTCTATATCTGCGACGCGTGTCAATCCGTCAGATCCCGGGAAGAGTTTTCTTACACGTCCGAGACGCCAATAGAGCGGTGGAGCGTTTTCCTCTTTCAAGAGGACTAGGTCGTCAATTTGTAGGCTCTCTTTGGACTTCGTGCGCCACTTCGTCCTCAACTGCAGCTCCGCAATGTACTCGTGGCTCCAGCGTCGCCAAAAGTGTTGCTTAAACTGCTCGATGCGCTGGAATCTGTCGAGACGATTGGCATTAGCGGATTGTAGACACGGAGATGGCAGCGAGCTTAGTGGTCTACCAATTAAAAAGTGGCCCGGAGTTAAGGGATAATAGTCCGTGGGAGAGGAACTTAATGGACATAGGGGGCGGCTATTTAGGATACATTCTATTTGTGTGAACAAAGATGACAATTCCTCATAGGTTAGGTGCGTAGTCCCTAATATCCTAGCCAGGTGGAATTTGGCTGACTTTACACCGGCCTCCATCAAACCATTGAAGTGAGGAGCGTATGCAGGCGAAAAACAAAATTCAACGCCTTCGTTAGCGGCAAAATTAGCGATAGTTTTGGCATTAACTTCAAAAAACTCTTTAAGTTCCTTTGAAGCAGCTACAAAGTTTCCACCATTGTCGCAGAATATCTGCCTTGGTAGCCCTCTCCGTGAAACAAAGCGTCTCAAAGTTAATATAAAAGCATCCTTGGACAGCTCACTAACAGCCTCCAAATGGATGCACTTATACCTAAAACATATGAAAATACACAAATAACATTTTGTAATTTTACAACCACGACCTTTGCGATCCGTGACCATAAATGGCCCAGCGAAATCAGTCCCTACTGTAATAAAAGGAAAGTCGGGCATTAGTCTTTGAGCAGGTAGTTTGCCCATTATGTTTTTCATAGACTGACCCTTAAAACGCCTACATACGGTGCAATTATGCACAGTACGTCTAGCCAGACTTCTTCCACTAATGGGCCAAAAACGCGCTCTAATAGAAGCCAGTAAGGCTTGGGGCCCCAGATGTAGAAGCCGTACGTGTTCTTGTTGGAATAAAAGTTGAGTAAAATGGTGTTTAGAGCTTAACAACATGGGATGTTTCATATCGAAACTTTATTCAGAAGCCTGAATTCGACCACCTACTCTTATCACTCCTTCATGTAAAAATGGATTAAGTGCCGAAATGTGCGACTTAGGACTTAGGGAATTTCCTTTTAATAATAAGAAGTCGTATTCTTTAGGGAATGCCTCTAATTGGGAAATATACACTAATGAATTAAGAGTTTTATTGAGCTCGGCGGTAGTTAAGGAACCTGTAATTTTAGTTTTAGAATTTTTACAGTTATTAATAAATCTATGTACATAGGCTAAAATGTGTTGTAATTGTTTTAATTTAGAATATTTAATTAATAATTGATTGATAATTATTACAAATAGCAACTGGATGTTCTTTAACTTCCGGCAAATTCTTCATCTCAATAATAGTCTGCGACTGCATAGAAGGCCACTCGGACTCTGGCAACGATAAAAACTTAGGTCCATACCACCACATATCACATGCAGCGATCTGTTGTGGGTTCACGCCACGGGATAGCAGGTCAGCTGGGTTGTGTTCTGTAGGAACGTGGTGCCATGAATTTGCGTCAGTCAGCTCTCTAATGGCGGCGACTCTGTTGGCAACGAATGCTTTCAAGTTAGAAGAACCGCAGCGCAACCAACTAAGAACTACGCTCGAGTCAGTCCAATAGACATGACGCGATATTTTACGTCGCAAGGCCTTGGTCACAGATGAGCTCATTTCAGCTGCCAGAAGAGCACCTGAAAGCTCCAAACGAGGAATTGTAATAGGGCTGGATGCTGGGGCAACGCGAGATTTCGCACATAAAAGTTGGACATGTATTTGTCCTTCTTTATTTGTAGAGCGAAGGTACAAGCATGCACCATAGGCGCGTTGCGATGCATCGCAAAAACAGTGGATTTCAGCAGAGACTGGATATTCTATTGATACCCATCTAGGTATATTTAGTGAAAAAAGGTATTTAAGTCCATCAACAAAAGGTCTCCAGACATCGACAATATCCTTTGGAGCGGGCTCATCCTAGTCCAATTTGAGAGACCATAAGGTCTAAATTAAAATTTTGGGAACGATAGTAGACAAGGATAGGAGGCCCAAGGGATCGAAGATCTTGAAAGTTGAAGAAAGTATAGTGCGCTTGGTGACGACGTCAGACTGATCCACTGTAATGGGAAAATTAATGCTGTCGGTCGAAGGACTCCAATCTAGGCCCAGCGTATTTGTAGACTGACTCAATGTCAGGTTGCCGGATGACTGGAACGTCTGAAGGCAGTAAAGAAGGTAAGTTGGATCGGTACTTACGCAAGTCAAAACCAGCCATAGAAAGAGCCACATGTGTTGATTTCTGTATAGTCCGTAATTGATCTTCATCATCGCTAGAAGTTAGTAAGTCATCAACATATATGTCCTCCTGTATGACTGCCTTAATAACGTCATCGTCACACTCCTCGCCCACTTGCCAGAGACACCTGGTGGCAAGGAAACTAGCGCTAGCAAATCCGTAGGTGACCGTGTTAAGCCTGAGTGTTTGTAATGGTTTGTCCTCCGCATCACGCCATAAAATCAGCTGTAGGTTTCGGTCAGACTCATCTATTAAAACCTGCCGGTACATTTTTTCAATATCCGCTGACAACACATAACGATATTGCCGGAACCGGATGAGGATATTGAAAAGAGAGTCTTGAACTGTAGGGCCTATCATTTGAATGTCGTTTATAGACAAACCAGATGAAGTGCGAGCTGATGCGTCAAAAACGACGCGTAGACGTGTTGACTCACTGTCTTCACGAATGACAGGATGATGCGGAACAAAATAGGCAAGCTCAGGTCGGTCTACCTCAGATATTGCTAGATGTCCTAGTTTGCGATACTCCTCAATGAAATCAACATAGGCGGACTTAAGTTCCGGTTGCTTGCGAAAGCGAGTTCCAGGTTTATAAATCGCCGCCTGGCTATGAAATAGGAAGTGCCTAGGCAGTCTGGTTTGTCGATCAATGGCAGCTTGACACAAAAACGACCTTCTTCAGTGCGTTTTGTGTGCTGTAAAAAATGTTGTTCGCAAGCTTTCTCTTGGTCTGTAAGAAGGGGCCTTTGTGGCAAGCTTTCAAGCTCCCAAAACCTCTTCAAATCATTGTGAAGCTCAACTAAAGTATTGTTGCTTTCAATACTTACAAAATTACATTTCACTGGGGAATTTAAATTGAGATTGTCATTTTGAATATAGTGCATGGGACCTGCGATAAGCCATCCTAATTTAGACTCATGTAGAATAGGATTTCCTTTGCCTAAAGAGTGCTGTTTGGTTCCAATAATGGACCAAAATAGGTCAGCACCGATGAGCAGTCCTATGTCAGACGGCTCATAAAAGCTGGGGTCTGCTAATGCAAAGGACTTCAGGTTAAGGTGTGTAATAGACACAAGAGACTTAGGTATCTTACCTGATATTTGGGGTATGACTAAACATGACGTCATAACGCTGAAAGAACCTACCTTTGAATGAATTCGAACATTGCAACGTTCAGCATTAAGCTTGACAATAGTGTTACATATGCCGACTACATTCCTAACATCAGACGTGGAAGAAGTTAAATTTAACTTTGATTTAAGTGATTCTGTAATAAAGCTAGACTGACTACCGTTGTCTAAGAGAGCTTTAGTGGTAATGTAATTGATTGTTTTGGGATTAAAAATATCAACCAAAGCCGTACATAGTAGTGTCTCAGAAGCAGAAACAGCTGACATTGAAACTGGCTCAGAGACTGCAACATTAGTGACTGCCACATTGGTATCAGA